TAAGAATTATTCGAAACGCGGCATCAGGCATCCGGATTGCGCATCAGCTTTTTATGGCTCAGAGAGTTTGATGACTTGCACTCCAGTTTGGACTCTGATGTTGCTTCTGTGCTGGAGTGGATACATGGAAAGACTGTAGACTGTAGACACTGTTTCTATTGTGCTTTGTTGTTGCACTTTGGCCAATTGAGTGATATTGTATTTGCTGTTGTGCTTATTTGATATATATTATACTTCACTGTTATGCTGAATTGATTATTATATACTTGCTTATTTGCTTGTGTGTTCATTTTTTGCCAGTGGTGTTTTCTTTTTTGCTTCTTGCATTGTACACTGGTTTTCCCCCATTTTTTTTGGCTAACCCTAACCCTAGCCATAACACTAACCCTAAGCCTAACCCAAACCGTATCCTAACCCTAACCCGAGCACTAGCCCTAAACCCTAACCCTATCCTAACTCTAGCTCTAGCCCTAACCCTAATGATAGCCCTACCCCAACCCCTACTCCTAACCCTATCCGAACCCTAACCCTAACCCAAGCCCTAGCCCTAATCCTAGCCCTAAACCTAACCCTAGCCCTAACACTAACTTTAACCCTAACTCTAGCCCTCACCTTTACCCTATCATTACACCAACCCTAGCCCTAACACTAACCCTAAACCTAGCCCTCACCCTAACCCTCACCGTAACCCTTGCCCTAAACCTAACCCTAGCCCTCACCCTAACCCTAATTTTAGGCCTAACCCTAACCCTAGCTCTAACACTAGCCCCAACCCTAACCTTAACCTAAACCTAACACTAGCCTTAGCCCTAGCCCTAACCTAACCTAACCCTACCCTAGCCCTAACCCTAATGGTAGCCCTACTCCTACCCCTATCTTAACCCTAGCCCTAACCCTAGCTCTAGCCCTAACCCTAGACCTAGTCCAAACCTAACCCTAATGCTAGCCTTAGCCCTAACCCTAACTCTAACCCTATCCTATTCCTAACCCTCACCATAACCCTAACCGTAGCCGTAACCCTAACCCTGTACCTCTCCTAACCCTAACCCTAACGCTATCCCTAACCCTATCCTAACCCTAACCATGTCCTAACCCTAATCCTAACCGTGTTCTAAACCTAGTGCTATCCCTAGCCCTAACCCCAACCCTCACCCTAGCCTTAACCCTATCCCTAACCCAAGCTCTAACCCTAACCCTAACCTTAGCTTTAGCTCTAGCCCTAAACCTAGCCCTAACCCTAACCATGTCCTAACCCTAATCCTAACCGTGTTCTAAACCTAGTGCTATCCCTAGCCCTAACCCCAACCCTCACCCTAGCCTTAACCCTAACCCTAACCTTAGCTATAGCTCTAGCCCTAACCCTAACCATGTCCTAAACCTAGCCCTAGCCCTAAACGTAACCCTAGCTCTAACCCTAACCTTAACCCTAGCCTTAACCCTAACCCTAGCTCTAACTCTAACCTTAGCTATAGCTCTACCCCTAAACCTAGCCCTAACCCTTACCGTGTCCTAACCCTAACCCTAACTGTATCCTAACCCTAGCACTAGCCCTAGCCCTAACTCTAGCCCTAACCCTATCATAACTCTAACCCTAGCTCTAGCCCTAATCCTATCCTAACCCTAAGCCTAGCCCTAGCTTTAACCCTAACCCTAACCCAAACCCTAATGCTAGACTTAGCCCTAGCCCTAACCCTACCCCTAAACCTAGCCCTAACCCTAGCCTTAACCCTAACCGTAGCTCTAACCCTAGCTATAGCTATAGCCCTAAACCTAACCCTAACCATGTCCTAACCCTAACCCTAACCGTGTTCTAAACCTAGCCCTAGCCCTAACCGTGTCCTAACCCTAACCATAGCCCAAGCCCTAACCCTAACTCTAACCCTAGCCCTAACCGTATCTCAACCCTAACCCTAGCCTTAGCCCTAAACCTAACCCTAGCTGAAGCCCTAACACTAACACTAGCCCTAACCCCAACCCTAACCGTATCCTAATCCTAACCCTAAATCTAGACTTAACCCTAATCCTAACCCTAACCGTATCCTAACCCTAACCGAAACCCTAGCCCTAACCCTAACTAGGTGTGAGGGCTAGGGTTAGGGCTAAGGTTAGGGGTAGGGTTAGAATTAGGGGTAGGGCTAGCATTAGGATTAGGGTTGGGGTTGGATTTAGGATAGGGTTAAGGTTAAGGCTAGCGTTAGGGCTAGGATTAGGGTATGGGTTAGGGCTCGGGTTAGGATACGGTTTGGGTTAGGGTTAGGTTTAGGGCTAGAGCTATAGCTAAGGTTAGGTTTAGGGCTAGGGTTAGTGTTAAGGCTATGGTTAGGGTTAAGGTTAGGGCTAAGGCTAGCATTAGGGTTAAGGTTAGGGTTAGTGTAGTGTTAGGGTTAGGGCTAGGACATGGTTAGGGTTATTGATCTTTTCCCCAGCAATCTTAACTCCAGCTTGTGATTCATCCAGGCCAGCATTTTGCATGATGTACTCTGCATATAAATTAAATAAGAAAGGTGACAATATACATCCTTGTCGTACTCCTTTTCCTATGCTAAACCAATCAGTTGTTCCATATCCGGTTCTAACTGTCACTTCTTGACCCTTATACAGGTTTCTCAGGAGACGTGTGAGGTGATCTAGTACTCCCATCTCTTTAAGGACCTGCCATAGTTTGTTGTGATCCACACAGTCAAAGGCTTTAGTATAGTCAATGAAGCAGAAGTAGATGTTTTTCTGGTATTCTCTTGCTTTCTTCATAATCCAGCGAATGTTCGCAATTTGATCTCTAGTTCCTCTACCTCTTCGAAACCCAGCTTGTACTTCTGGCAGTTCTCTATCCATGTATTGTTGGAGCCTAGCTTGTAGGATCTTTAGCATGACCTTGCTAGAGTGTGAAATGAGTGCAATTGTGCGATAGTTTGAACATTCCTTGGCATTGCCCTTCTTTGGGATTGGAATGGAACCTATTTATCTACTTGCAATTTCTTGCTTCCGAACTCCTACGTTGGCAGGAGCTGGGGCCAGAGATGGGAGCTCACTCCGTCACGCGGCACTCGGGTCTCAAACTGCCAAGCTACCGAACTTCCAGTCTGTGACTCAGCGTCTTAACCAGTTGAGCCACTGTGGCCCCATGGCAAGCTTAGCTATCAAAAAACATACTTTGTCTCTCCACAGGCGTTTGGTTGGGAGAAAGTTATTATTTTATTTATTTACGTTACTGTCTGTCTTTCTTATTAGGACTCAAGGTAAATCACACAGGGGGAGTCAAGACAATCAACAGGATTGGATGTTCAATAAACAATGCAATAGGGTTAAGGTTGCAGAACGAACCAGAAGTCTAAAAACAAGAATAAGGAGGAGGAGGAGATTGGATTTATACCCCGCCCTTCACTCGGAGTCTCAGAGCGGCTTACAAACTCCTTTCCCTTCCCCTCCCCACAACAGACACCCTGTGAGATAGGTGGGCTGAGAGAGCTCTGGCAGAAACGGCTCTTTTTCAAGAACAGCTCTTATCAGAACTACGGCTTGCCCACAGTCATCCAGCCAGGTGCAAGTGGAGGAGTGGGGAATCAAACCCAGTTCTCCCAGATTAGAGTCCCGCACTTAACCACTACACCGAACTGACTCTCTTTTTTTACGATATCTTTTTTAAACTTTATAAAATTGCAAAAATTCTCAATTGTACAATATTGTAAAAAGGTCCAACATAGTCCAACATTATGCGTACCCGGTTATGAACTCATTCCAACTTTACAGTCTTCCTCAAATGTAATCCTATATTGTCAGGAGGTGTCAGTTTCTTAATCCAGCTCAGTATTGTAATTCCTAAATTCCTTCATAATTTAGTTTACACTTTATAGTGGATAGATGGAAAACAACAAAGTCGCTGGATGTACAAATACAAATAATAAATAAAATAAATCAACAAACATGGGAAACAATTAGAGAAAGCCTTCTTGAACTAAGGAGGGGAAAATCGTTAAAGAACACCTAAAATCTGAACGTCACAACAGATGCAATCATACAGACCACCTCTAGATGTCAGCCTTTATTCAACAATGCAACATCCTTTTCAGCAGAGGAGAGCTAGAACCGGAAAAGCAATTTAGGTTAATTTTTTTAAATGGTGCCAGTTAGGATTCCAAATAATAGTCATAAAAAACCAGTGACGAATTACAATAAGCTTACAATTAATGTATGAAGCTTAAGGTTAGGTTACCCTAAAATTAAACTAAAAATAATCAAATATTGTTAACTCGAAAGGTGCATTTGACGGTAGCCTACAAGCCATTTGCAATCCTGAGGCTAAATGAATTCCAAAAATTGAGAGGCATAAAGCAGGATAAACGTTTCAATCACCCAGAGTGCACCAGTTGGGTTGCCAGCTCTGGGCTGGGAAATACCTGGAGATTTTGGGGATGGAGCCTGGGAAGGGTGGGCTTTGGGGAGGGGAGGAGCCCCAATGGGGTATAATGCCACAGAGCCCACCCTCCAAAACAGCCATTTTTTCCTGGGGAACTGATTTTGGTTGTCTGGAGAGCAATGTAATAGCAGACCTCCCGGTGCCACCTGGAGGTTGGCAACCCGGTGCACCAGCAAACTGCCATCCGGGCAATGCTCTAATCCAGTTGTGCATGTCTGCATTACTGCACAATATTTTATTGGACACATGATATGTCAGCATGAGTTCAACACAGCCCCTTCGGTCTTCTGAATGTGGCCCTTTAAGGCAGCCCCCTATCGAAAAAGTTCGAGGCGCACATCCCTGAATCGACGGCTTCTAAGCTGCGGGCGGTCAAAAGCGCGCGCGTAATTGCGCATCTCATTTCGCGCATTCCCTTCTTCCCTAAAGGCACTGCCGCCCTTCCCAATGAGTGCCTCTGTGGTCGTTTCCTAGCCTAGAGCGGCGCTTCCGGTCTCCTGACGCCCATCGCAAAGGGAAGGCGGAAATCCGAGTGTTTACCATAGAGCTTTCCCCCGGAAGTCCGTCCCCTCTAGTGCGTTTTTTAAATCTCTGTGGTCCCTCGCCTGTCGCCTGTCGCGGGAGGTCTGGAGGAGTCCCGGAAAAGGGAGGGGTGGGGTTTTTTGCAGTGGGCGGGATGGCCCTCAACAAGTCGATGCACGCCCGGAACAGGTACAAGGACAAGCCGCCCGACTTCGCCTACCTGGCCTCGAAGTACCCGGAGTTCCAGCGGCACGTGCAGGTCGGCTTGTCGGGGAGAGTCAGGTAGGTCAGGGAGGCTGGGTCAGGAGGAGGGCAGGGGCCCCCCTCCAAATGGTGCCGTTCAAGAGTTGCAGGCCAAATGGCAGGTCCCTGCCCCGGGGAGCTTGCAGGCAAGAAACTGCTTTGGGGGGAGAGCTGGAGGGGCGTGTGTGTAAAAAACCTCTATTGCCTGGACTCTGTTCGGTGCAAGGCATGAACAGGAGGCAGATTTGATATTTGGTTTAATTCATTTGTCCCCAGTGGGGACTCAGAGCAGCTTGCATCATTCTCCTCTCCTCCATTTTATCCTCACAACAGCCCTGTGAGGTAGGTAGGAGATCAGCAACTTCATTTAATTCATTTGTACCCCACCTTTTCCCCCAGTGGGGACTCAAAACAGGTTGCGTCATTCACCTCTCCTCTGTTTTCTCTTCACCGCAACCCTGTGAGGTAGAGTGATGTGTTGCATATTTAGTTTAGGAAATCAGCAGTCTCAGATTGGCTTTTCCATATTCCTCCGCTTTGTGCTGCATGTACAAATGTGCCAGGAATGGGATAGTGAGGACCCTTGTAGGCTGGGATGCAGTACTCCCTCCCAAGCTGTGGCATCTTGTGAGCAAAAATCCTACTTTGTGAGCTACTGGCATTGAAGTTCTGAGTGAGCGATTTGGCTCCTGCATAAATCAGTTTGCTCTGGAGCCCTCCGTCCTGAGCTAAGGTGAAGCTGTGTGAGCCAGAGGATAAAAGACTGTGAGCTAGCTCGCACTCACTCAGCTTAGAGGGAACACTGGTGGAATGCGTGGCTGAGCTGTTGGCCCCGCAGTTCCTGATTTGCAAAGCTGAACATCTCCCAATCCCTAGTGTGATTAGTTCCCCCTCCCCCTTTATCTTTTTTACGTTGGAGATTTGGGGTGCAAGACTCAGTGCAGCTTCTTCTTCTGTCTCGTTCCTTTTCAGTGTCAACTTCAAGGCTCCCGAAGCGGTGAGAGCCCTGACGTGCACCCTGCTCAAAGAAGACTTCGGCCTTCAGATTGACATCCCGTTGGAGAGGCTGATCCCGACGGTTCCCCTGAGGCTCAACTATATCCACTGGGTGGAAGATCTCATGGCGATGCAGGATCCTGCCGGGAAAGCTTCTGTTGTATGGGGGATAGATATCGGTTGGTTTCTCGCTCGCTGGATACAGTTCAGTTTTGTGAAGGGGCTGCTGGATGATCGGCTTTGTGTGTCAGGGCCATAGTTCCCTCTAAGCTGAGTTGGTGTGAGCTAGCTCACAGTTTTTCAGCCTCTGGCTCACACATTTTTGTCTTAGCTCAGGAAGGAGGGCTCCAAAGCAAACTAATTTATGCAGGAGCCCAATCGCTCGCTCACAACTTTAATGCCAGTAGCTCACAAAGTAGAGTTTTTGCTCAGAAGACTCCACAGCTTAAAGGGAACATTGGTCAGGGCTGCAGTTAAGATTTGGAGAGTCGGCCTTCTACCCCTTGCATCACTTGCACAGATTCTGTGGGACTGGCTGCAGTTCTTGCCAGCTTCCCAAAGAGGGGTATGGGAGTTGCCAGGAAAGGTGTGTGTGTGTGTGTGTGTGAAAGAACGAGGCCCAGTGTTCCAGGTGGCTTCCCCTTGGCCATTTCACAAATGGCTCCCAGATAGGGTTGCCGGGTCTGATTCAGGAAATATCTGGGGCTTTTGGGGGTGGAGCCGGGAGCAAGGATGTGATGTCACTTCCAGGTCCACCCCTCCATATCTAGAAGGTTCCTGTGATTCCATGGTAAGAGCCTGTGCTTCTGACGCAGTGGTTGCTCTCAACTCCTTCTCCACCCAAGCCACACACACGTACTGGTACCACATAGGGTTTTGTTTTCTAAAAAAAATAAGTATTAATTTTCAAAGATATAAAATACAAAGTAACAGGATCAATGTAGGGTTGCCAGGTGAGGCTGACAGGCCGGTGATGGACTTCCCAGGAACCTCCAGGAGAGAGCGGAGGGAAGAAGCACAATTGAACCCTGTCACATTTAAAGGGACCGTGGAAATAATGGAGGATAAGGAAACCTCCTTCTGGGGCTCATAGAATTGGAGCCCCTAGTCCAATCTCTTTGAAACTTGGGGGGTTTCTTTTGAGGACAGGCACCAGATGCTGTGCTGGGAATCTGGTGCCTCTACCTGTACCCCCTAGAGCCCCTGATAGCCACAGATCAATTCTCCATTATACTCTATGGGGACTGGTCCCCATAGGGTATAATGGAGTGCCCAGCAGACATTTTCCCCCTCCCCTCGCTTTCTGAGAAACCTGAAGTGGTGGGAGGGCCTCCAAACCAGGGGATCCCCTGCTCCTGCCCCTGACTAGGGATTGGCACCCCTACCCCCAGATGAAGTGTTCTTTAGCTATATCCTGAGAAGTGTCTTGAGGGCAGTCTCTTGGTTCTTTCTATACATTTCAACTCTTTTCTCAGTAAATGGCAGATTGCTTCCATGAGTTTATTTTGCAACAGATACATGATAACCAGGGTTCCCTCTAAGCTGAGTTAGTGTGAGCCAGCTCACAGTTTTTTAGCCTCTGGCTCACACATTTTTGTCTTAGCTCAGGAAGAATGGGGCTCCAGAGCAAACTAATCTATGCAGCAGCCAAATCACTCACTCACAACTTTGGTAGAAGAAGAAGAGATTGGATTTATACCCCGTCCTTCACTTGGAGTCTCAGAGTGGCTCACAAACCCCTTCCCCTCCCCACAACAGACACCCTGTGAGGTAGGCAGGGCTGAGAGAGCTCTTGAGAGAACTGTTCTTGAAAGAAGAAGAAGAGATTGGATTTATACCCTGCCCTTCACAACCCGAAGGTGTCTCAGAGCGGCTTACAAACTCCTGAGAAAGCTCTTTCGGGGACTGCTCTTGAGAGAAGAAGAAGAGATTGGATTTATACCCCTCCCTTCACTACCCAAAGGAGTCTCAGAGTGGCTTACAAACTCCTTTCCCTTCCCCTCCCCACAACAGACACCATGTGTGGTGGGTAGGGCTGAGAGAGCTCTGTCACACACTGCTCTTTCAGGAACAGTTGTGCCAGAGCTTGTGACTGACCCAAGGTCACATCAGCAGGTGCAAAGTAGAATTTTTGCTCACAGGACTCCACAGCTTAGAGGGAACATTGATGATAACGACCTTTCCGCCACTAAAACTCCAGTCCTGTGGACATTTATAAGGGACCAGCCACATTGAACACTATGGAATGTGTCTCACAAGCAAACTTACTTAAGATTAGACTGTTAATGTTTGGAGAGTTGGAAAAAAATATTTATTTAGTTAAGATATTTTATGCCGCTTTCCACCCAAATGGGGTCCCTGAGGCAGTGAACATGAGAACGGTTGAACCTTAAAACAGTGTTTAGAATTATGCAGGAAATAATTCAATAAAAATCATACAAACACACAACCCCACAATGACAAAGCCAGGAGGGAGGGCCAGTAAGAGTTACTGTGGGTGTGTCTTTGCCCCATGGTGGAAGATAATGATAGACGGAGACAGGTCAGTCTCCCAGGGGAAACGTCGAGCTGGAAGGGAACCCAAGGGTCATCTAGTCCAGTCTTCCTGGATTCCTTTCCGGATCTCTGTCCCCTGAAGGATCTAATTTCCTCCCCCCTCCGTACCCATGAGGCACCAACAGGTCAGAAATATGGGAGGGAACCACAGAAGTTTGCCACTTGACTTTAATTAGTGAATTATATGTTTTGATAATGGTTTTTATGGATTTTACTGTTTTAAATTTGTACATTGCCTAGAGCCCCACAATCGTGGGGAGTAGGCGATTCGAAAATGTAATTAAATAAATAGAATAAACCTCCTGCACAGTGCAGAACATAAGAGAAGCCAATGTTGGATCAGGCCAATGGCCCATCCAGTCTAACACTCTATCACACAGTGGCCAAAAATACCAGGTGCCATCAGGAGGTCCAGCAGTGGGGCCAGGACACTAGGAGCCCTCCCACTGTTGACCCCCCCCCCCAAGCATCAAGAATACAGGGCATCCCTTGCCCCAGACCGAGAGTTCCTATCTATACCTTGTGGCTAATTGCCCCTGATGGACCTCTGCTCCGTATGCTTATCCAGTTCCCTCTTGAAGCCGTCCATGCTTGTAGCCGCCACCTCCTCCTGTGACAGTGAATTCCATGTGTTAATCACTCTTTGGGTGAAGAAGGACTTCCTTTGATCTGTTCTAATCCGACTGCTCAGCAATTTCATGGAGTTCTTGTATTGTGAGAAAGGGAGAAAAGTACTTCTTTCTCGACCTGCTCTATCCCATGCATAATCTTGTAAACCTCGATCATGTCACCCCCTCAGCCGTTGTTTCTCCAAGCTAAAGAGCCCCAAGCGCTTTAACCTGTCTTCATAGGGAAATTCACAGCTCGCTCCCCCAGTGATCCCTGCTCTGTGCCCAGAGAAAAGCAAAAAATGTTCTGGATCCCTGTGCCAATCTGGCCTGGAGGGGGGGGGGGGTTCCTTCCTGACCCCAAAGTGGCAATCGGCATTACCCCGGGCAGTAGGAAAGGGCCACAAGAGTGCTTTGGAGGGAGCTCCAAAGTTTTGGTGCCATAACCAAGAAGACCGTCTAGCCTTAGATGGCAGGAGAAGTTCATGCAAGGCCTCCAAGAGATGACCTGAGTGGACCAGTAAGGTCTCTACCATCTGAAGTCTCTCGTGGCCTTATACGAAGAAAACCTCACTGAGATTTCAGATATGGAGTGCAGTGAGATTTTCACGGAATGGACAAGATTCTTTAGAGACTGCATTAAGCTGATGTGTTTGCCTCGGGGTGCTTGCTGTGTAACTGGGAAATAATTTGTTACATTTAACGTCCATTCGCCGCTTATGGAATCGGGTGTCGTTGCCGCTACCCGTTTTTCCCTACCAGCCCGATCTTTTTCTTGGCTTTGCAGGAACGGGCGCGTCTTGTATTTACCCACTGCTCGGGGCGACCTTGAACGGGTGGCATTTCATTGCGACGGAAGTGGACGACGTATGTTTCAGCTACGCCAAGAAAAACGTGGAGCAAAATAATCTCTCCGACCTTATCAAAGGTATCTTTCCGTCCCTCTCTTCTCACTCCTGTACTTTAGCATAGTTTCTGGAAGTTTTACAGACAAAAGATCACACTGGCTGTGCTCCTAACCACGACACCAAACTGGCTCTCACATCACCTACCGCTGGAGTTGCCAACTTCCAGGTGGGACCTGGGGATCCCCTGGAATTACAGCTCATCTCCAGGCTACAGAGATGAGTTCCCCTGGAGAAAATGGATGTTTTGCAGGGTGGACTCTGTGGCAGTGTGTCTCACTGTGGTCCCTGTCCTCCCCAGGCTCCATCCTCAGATCTCCAGGAATTTACCAACTCTGATGACCCTGCCCGCCATCTGATCTTTTTAAACCGGAGGTACTGGGGATTGAACCCTCGTTGGGCCAAGCAGAGGCTCTCCCACTGAGCCACAACCTCTCCTCTGCCTTTGAATCTCTTTTGTCTTTTTCATTTTGTGGTTTCCCGGTCTGTGTTAGGGTGTGTTTTCTGATTCCAGCAGGATTTATCATGAAATCTTGTTTGTGAGAAACTGTTCTGTGACGCCTGATGATAGTGATGCAGCTCATTTGTCTTGTGAACAGGCAAGGCGGAATTGGCTTACTGTATAGCGAAAAGCCTATCCTGTTTGATTGTTAGTCGTAACTTATAGACAAGATACAAACCAACCTACATTAAAAAAGGAGGACCCTCAAGGAGAAATTATTTTCCTCCTACCTGTCCCCCACTCTTTCTCAACATTCTAGTCTTGCTTTGGCCCCTACTAACCCCACACACACACACACACACACCCCTCACAACAGCGAGGCCTCTGTAAAAGGTTTAGCATTCTCTGCCAAGTATCAGGCAAGTGACCTGGACCCCAGTGCCTCGTGCAGGACACTAAAACCCTACAGTCAGTTCCTCACAACGCAGTGTGAGGCAAAGATGTTGTCTCTGAGGCGTTTCCTTGGCAACCAAGGGTTGGCAGTCGAGATTTCATGGGGTGTTCTCGGCGAGATCTTGGATGGCAAGGGATTCTGTGGTATGTTTTTATCATACGTACTTCATTTATACTCCACATTTCTCCCCAGTGGGGATTTAGAGTGGCTTGTGACGTTTTCCCCTTCTCCATTTTATCCACACAATGACCCCCGTGAGGTAGGTTAGCTTGAAAGGGTGACTGGCCTAAGTTCCCCCAGCCAGCTTCTGTGCCAGAGTGGAGATTCAAAGCTGGGATACCAATCCAACACTAACCATTATACCGTACTGGTTCCTGTTATATTTGGGAGAATATTCTTTTTGTGTGTTTTTCATATGTGCGTGTGTGTGTGCGTCATGAAGTCATGACGACCTCTGGTGACTGACCCCTACTGGGGGCCTGGGGAATATTCAGAGAGGTGGCTGAATAAGGCCTGCCCCCCGCCTCCTGTCTCTGGTATTCCAAGGAGGTCTCCCATCCAAATACTTGCCAGAGTCAACCCTGCTTAACTTCCGAAAACTGGTGAGATTGGGCTTGACAGGGCTGGGAGAATATTCTTTCGATGTGAACAATGTCAGTAGTTTAACTGAGCTGATGCTTCACTGAAGCATATGGAACGTACATTATCAGTTTGAGAAAATACAGCTGAAATATGAAGAAGACGCATATAGCAGAGACTGCCCTGACAATTAGTAGGCGGTTCAGGGGGTTAGAGTTGTAAGAACATCTCAAAAGATGAGTTTTCCAGTGGGAATTTTGCGAATACCCAGTGCAAGTCTAGATAGTTCGGATTTGACATTCCACATCTGGCTGTTAAAGGACCATCATCTCTTTTTGATTGTGCTACATGTTTTTTTCATCTGTATCATTTGCATAACAAATTTCTAGACCTTGAAAACGAGTCGGTGTTTTCTCGGTTTCCTTTTCCTCCAGTGGTCAAAGTGCCGCAAAAGACACTCCTTTTGGACGCCCTGGAACAAGAGTCGGAAGTCATCTATGACTTTTGCATGTGCAACCCTCCCTTTTTCGCCAACCAGCTGGAAGCGAAGGTACGTTGACTTCTGCCCGTCTGTCTGGAACATTTAGGACAGGGAGTAGAAGGTCTGCGGGAGACCTCCAAGGAACACCAGGGGCGTGACGCAGGGGCAGGCAGCAGCACACCACCTCTGAACATCTCTTGCCTTGAAAACCCCACTGTGGGTCACCGTAAGCCGGCTGTGGTTTGACAGCAGCAGTGACAATAGAAGGTCACCGGGTCTTGCAACCCAGGTGACTGTTGTTCGGGCACATAGTTGGGGAACTAAATGAATTTGTGACGCTAGTTAAAGTTCCAAAGACCCAGTCTTTGGCCCATGTCGTCCAGTTGATGTGCTTTGTGATAACAGCCAAGTGAGCTGTTATCAGGAATAGAATTACGTCTTCCTGTAGTTGTCTGGTCCCCGTTCTTCCAATTATAATATATGTCAAAATGTGAAAGGCTATCTTGGGAGGGTGGGCGACCGACACAAACACGTGAAGACTGCATGAAGCTGCCTCCTCCTGAATCAAAACCGTTTGTGTCCATCAGGGTCAGTCTTGTCTCCTCAGACTGGCAGTGCCTCTCCAGGGTCTCAGGCAGAAGTCTTCTGTGTTATCTACTACCTGATCCTTTAAGTGGAGATACCAGGTGTGACGTCCTCCTTACTGAGGAAACTGTTTTTCCTTTAAAACACACTCTGTTCACATAAACTTGGTAGATTACTGCTGCCACCAGGAATGAAAAATCCCAAATCTCTATTATGGTAGAATGACCCTGTGTCTGGGCACTTTAGAGGACTATGTGGCCTTGAGGAAGGACTGTTCTGACTGCTGGGATAAGTTTAAACAAATAATGATTTATTTATAAAAGAGCAAAATAGGTTTCTGGGTATTTTTGAGCTGTTGTTGAAGAAAGGAATTTATAAATATAACTGATAAAGCTAGGCATCACACACTGTCTCTCAAAACGCCAAAACTCAACTCTGACAGCCTTAGCCACATAGACTAAACTCTGCCTTTCTTAGCCACACAGGCTAACCTGTTTGTCTTAGCCACACAGGATAGACTATCCCTCTATCGCTCTCTTTACATTACTGCAGTCAAACTAAACATTTAAAGAAACACACACACCAAAACATGAAATCATTACACCAGGGATCAAACCTGGGGACTTCTGCATGCCAAGCAAACACTCCACCAGTGATCCACAGCCTCTCCCCCCAAAATAAGAAGCTGCCTTATGCAGAACCAGAAGACTTGTCCATCAAGGTCAGTCTTGTCTACCCAGACTGGCAGTGGCTTTCCAGGGTCTCAGGAAGAGGTCTTTCACAGCACCTACTGCTAGACACTTTAACTGGTGGCGGTGGGGATTGAACTTTGGACCTTCTGCATGCCAAGCAGATGCTCTGCCACTGAGCCACAGCCCTTCTTTTATATGGATGGTGCTTTACAGAATTTCACAGGCAAAAAGGCAGGTTCCTGTTCCAGGGATGGTGATCTTGTTTTAGCAGTGAGGGAGCAACTGAAGGAACGTGTAGAAGAGAGAAATGAGGGAGACCAGCATCCCAGAGATGAAGGGATGGTCGAGGAAAGCATATCTTAGGATGGATGGGAGAAAACACACTTTCAGTCTTTGTTTCTGGGGAGGGTGCAGGTTGAGGCCTGGTCTACACAATACTGATTGTGTTCCCAATCAGTGATATATTGTTTACCATGTTTACTTGCCGCAGGTGTTTGTAGCTGCAAGCAACAATTCACATTGCATGATATAACAGATTTTTAAAAAACTCTTTTCCGTGACCCTGCATTTCCTCCCTGGAGCTTACATGTCCCATGAGCAAAGGAAATCTTATCTGCTATATCCAAAGCCAGTATTTTGAAGGAGTATCATAGACACTCAGGTGGCTAGATAGTATCCGTTCCCTCAGCCATTCTGGAATTGGAACTCGGTGGCCTGCAGATGAGAAAAATGTTGTCCGTGTGAGGATAATGCAGTTGTGGTCTTCTGAACCCGTGGCATTCTGAATGTCAGAGCGTCACAGAATTCCTGAGGTGGTGTCAAACTCGGTCTCTAGTTTGCCATGTTTTGGGGGGCTGTGGGGCCTGCAGAGGGAAGGGAAATTCCTGAGGGAGGGGTGTGAGTGAGCGAGTGTGAACAGCTCTGTCATAGTGGCAATGTAACTCTTCCTACGATTACCTCCCTGTGTCAGGGATGACCTTGGAGTGTAACTGTACCTGCCTCACTGTTATTGATAAAGAAACCATATATTCACAGTTGGGGGTTGTGGAGTGCGTGAAAGATAGGCGGGACGATTGGGGTGTATGATTGGATGTCACTGAAGTGGGGGGGGGCCCCTCATTTGAACTGCCTATATCTTTGGATTCTCCCATCAGAGCCCGAGTTCTGACACAGTGCTGATCTGACCTGGAACATCTTTATTTCTCAATAAACAAATCACTGCCAAAGAGAGTGTTGTTGAGAGTAACTTTGTCCAGGGGTCTGACAGGTGGCAAGCAAGCAAGTCAACCCACCATACGTTCTTGATAATTATTACCCATAGGTAAGCAGATCACACAAAAATGGCACTTCCTGCAGTGAGTTTAGACCTAGCTTAAGATAGTCATGGTTGAGGTGAGCT